TGCAAGTTTGCCCTTTGTGCAGTCTAATGTCTCAGGGAATAATTCATAGTGTTTACTGCTGCTTCTCTCTATTGCTGGCCACAAAACAATGAAGTCACGAAACTATCCTGTAATGTATGAAATAAATTATGTAAAAAGAATAATTTTGCATTGACCTTTTTGTTTATAATAACCTTCTAGCACTAATAGATACAGAGACGTTGGATAGAAATGTCACTTCTCTTCCTAGATTTGTCCTTTTAAATATGCTGACTCAGTGTATCTATTTGTGTGTCACCAGAAAAAAAAAAAAGTTTATGGCCTTTTACCTCTTTCTTCTAAGAGCAGGAATCGGGAGATCGAACTGACTGACCTATTCAGCTTCACAACTTTTCACAGAGATTTTCTGGCCTATTTATGTGGCCGTGTGGTGAAAGCTGATGTTGCCTGGCAGGGTAGCAATAAAGTATTTGTGATGGAGAGGTCAAACCAAGCTCATAATTCTGGGCTATTCCCAAAATGCAGAAGCAGTTTATTTTGGCTGAATTTCTTAACTGGTATCCTGTTACCCAAGGAGAGGGCTCTGGAATTGATTAACTGCACACAAAGACTTGGTCTGTGTACATTTTCATTAAGAAAGAACCATTCATGTTTTGTTTTTTGCCATAACTTGCCTTCACTTTCTGTGAATGACATATGCATATCCGGTTTTGCTGTAAAAATAAAAAATTCTATGTGCTTTTGTCACAGGTGTATTGCATTTAAACTGATGCTCTTTCAGCGTGTTTCAAGTGCAATCTTCTTTTCTCCTGTATCTATAATAATAAACCTTAAATATATGTAGCTTAAAAAGCAGCTATTTCAGGCTAAGCCATCCTTTTCAGTTCAGGCTATTGACAGAGGGAGGCAGCAGCTTGGTAAGAAGTTATAGTTTAGCATGAACAAAGCAAAATGAAAAACATTTTAGGATAAACAGGAAGCTTAGTTTAGGAAAAGAGCAAAACATTTAAATAGGCTTAATGTTAGGAAGGAGCCATGACAAAACTAGAATATTACTGTTAGATCACTTTTCTTTAACTTCCCTAGCCTTTTTTCAATTCCTGTATTATTTGCATATTTAGAAATCTCAGTAAAAGCTTTTTGATGCTGCATGATTAGCTGGTGCCATAAGGCTTCATTGTTGCTTGACTGTGAAATACTTGAGCTCATTTGAGCCAGAACTCCTAAATGCAATGTTTGATTTTCAGACTTGTGATTTAGTTCCTAGGTCCTTGGGTGGCAGCTTTGACTTTTTGAAATACAGATGCTCTGCAGGTTTTCAAAAACAGACAGCTAGAAGATATAGTAAATTTTGAAATGATAATTTATTTTTATAGTATTTGTATTATGTTTAAAGTCAGGTTTAAATTTTTTCAGTGCACACTTCACAGTTAATGATACTATGTTATGTCAGCATATTTTCATTACAGATTTTCCAGCGAAGTAATTTGTATTAATAAAAACAGAAGGCACATCCTTTTTAAACTACAAAACACCCCAGCGTTGGCACCTTGGAGAGCAGAGATGTTATATGTGCATCTCCACGAGTGAGCATGCCCTCCTCATCCTGTCAAAATGTTTCTGTTCACTTCTTGGTGATGCCTGGAGATTTATGCAGATCCTGTCTCAGAAGGATGTTCTTCTAAGTTGTTTGCACTTGTCAAGTACTCTGGTGTCCTCGTGAGGTAGACTCTGCTCATGTGGTCATAGTCCTGTCCAGGAATCTAGACACTGACTGGATATATTTACACTTCTAACATACCAACAGTATGTTTTAAATAATGTGTAAGCTCTAATGTTTTCTGGCTTGTAACACAGTTACTTGGAAGCGGGAAGAGTACAAGCGGGCTTAATACTGTGTGAAAGCAAAGTCTTGGTACGATAACAAAAGATGGACATTTCACCAGACTGACTCATTTGTCATATATTTGAAAGGGCATGGGAAGAAATTGGGACTGAAGGTTAGCACAGCAGACCCTTACTTATTAGCCAAAAGGAGGAGAAAAGATCTTATCCAGCAAGGCTGCAAGAGATTGCATTGCATTTTAGTTAGTGACGGGAAGTGATTTTTTCTTAAACTGAAATTTCAAACAAATGATGAAGACAGGCTTGAAGGTTACTTCAGTGTGAAGCCTGTTCTTACAATGTGACTAATAAATATTCTGTAAATATTTATACCAGTTTAATGTAGTCTTAAACTCCAGTATCCTGAAAGTAACTGTTTTTAGAAAAGGAATGTAAGTTCTTAGAGTAAATTTTTTCACTACCAATAGTCTTGTCTCCCTTGTGAGTGCTAAATGTTAACTGTTCCCATATATATGCATGCATGTGCCTATAGTTTGCACATGTTTGAGGGGGGTATTGCTATTATTAGTGGAAACCACAATTGCCTTGTTATATTTTTATTTTGCATTATTTTGAAGTAGATCAGTTAATCAGTAGACTGTAACTTGGTGTTAGGCTTTTGACGGCCTTCCTCACAAAGCATTTAAAGTTTTCTCTTGTTCTGTGGAATCTCATTTTCAGCCATGGTCACTGACCTTCTGAAATGCTGCTTAGAAGAAATGAGAAACCAAACAGTCAGAAATCACAGAACAACAGACAAACTCCTATCTTTTTTCCTTACACCCTGATGTATGAGAACTGGTTATTGTTTTTAGGGAAACCTCTTGCTACATTTTCTGCTTCTTTTGTTGAATACCTTTTGGAATTACAGAGCTTGTTTTAGGCAAAATATTTTGGCCCGTCTCAGTGTTTAATACTGTCAGTCTCAATTTCTGCTTTCAGCTTTTTCATAGCACTACTGCACATAGAGTTCCTATTCCATCCCGCAGTCCTCTGTTTTCAGTTTCAGATATATGTAGGCTACTATGCCCTCTCACAACCAAATGTTTCTCATGCTATTAATTATTGTTGTTCAGATTTTTTTTTTTACTGACTAAATTCTGCATTTATATCATCTCTTACAGAAGTACTGCTAATGTTTCTTTAGCTAAGAATCTTAGCAGATAGTGTTAAAACTCAGTTATAGCAGTCTCTTTACAGGAAAGGCAAACAAACAAGAAAACAAAACCAACCCTACCATAAGTCTACTACAGTCTTGGACTGAAATTCTCAACTTTTTATAGATAAAATGAGTCTTCAGAAATGTAGAAAAAGTGCAACTGAATGACCATGCTGCAGGGTGTGTTCTGAGCTTTAGGAATAATAACCATGAAAGGTATCTCCTCTCATTACCTGAATTTAGAAATCGTATAAAATTCTCCAGTTGCATGAATTTTCCTTGGGAATGATACTAAATAACGACCTTCCATTAGAGTATATTGAAAATATGTTTTTCTCACAGAATGAAAGTTGTTACTGTTGAGACATCACATTGTCCATTTGTCTATAGCATCTATTACTTCACATAGATAGGGAACCTTATGTTGTCAAGGAAAATTGTGATTTACTTTCACATCCACAAAAAGGTTTTTAGAGCTAGAATCAAAATTAAGTAAACTACAACTTTATTCTCAGATTTTTCAGAATTTCAGAAGCAAGATGACACAAAAGCACAGGGTCATCAGTGAGATTAAAGCATATGCTGCAGATTGTATCCTACCTGAATATGCACAGCTTTTGAACGTGAGAGTAATAGATCACATAATTCAGTCAGATTTTAAACAAACTCAGTAACCTCATCAACTGGAATATTCTGTTCCAAGCTTCTTTTTCAGCTTCTTTTGCTCACCACCCTGCTAATTGAGGTTTCTGGAGTCACTCCCAGTTGATGGCAAGGCATCAAATCTGTTGATGGCAACAAATGATTGATGGCAGTGCATCAAATCTGTTTGAGATATGTAGATAAAGTTTGGCTACAGTGCCTCTGTTTTCTTCATAGAAGCTGATGCTTTAATCTTCTAAATTGTGAGTGTGGTAATGAATCATCCGAGACGCTTGGGACAGACACCAAATGTTCTTATATACCCGCTGTCTGTCTGTCGCAATACACTACTTTTGTCGTAAAATGCAAGTTAGGATAATTTTTCTTTTCATCAGACCACATACAGGAGATGCAAAACTAACTAGTCCTTTTAGAGTGACAGAAAAGTAATTTTTTTTTATGTTACATCTTGTTAGAAGATTGATACATGTAGGATGCTTAGTGTTGCAAAAATTATATTTCTAATAGGTTTTACTTTTTTTTTCTTTTACATATGTGCTTTTCTTATTTTTATTTGACCACAGCTTATTTTAGGATGTTTACCATTAGGGAGGTGTCAGCTTTTCTCCAAGTTGAGTAATATTTTGTCACACATCACTCTTTCAGCCAGAATGTTTCACTGTGACTGTCTGGTTGGATTTTAGACTGTATTGTTTGTTTGTTTGTTTGTTTGTTTGTTTGTTTAAAAAGTCACTAAAACAAATTCATTCCATTTGCCACTGAGCAAAATTAATGTTGAGAACTCCTATTTTCCAACAAATAGATAACACGTAGCTTTGTCAAAATGACAAAGTTTGATAATTGAAAGCTTTCAGTCTGGCTCTTAGCAGTATTTAACTGATGAATAAGACAGTGGATGCAAAATCCTGATGTCCGTACACTGCATGAAATCTACTTTTCATGTACTGCATGAACTTATATTGAAGAGTCCATAGTCTGACTTGTGAGAACTTTTAGTGAAGATGCCTTGCACTGAGTAGGATTCAATTATCGTCCTGTCTTTGCATTGTTTAAAGTTCTGATACACTTCTCTTTCTTTAACAGATTTACTTACATAACAAGGGATAAAATTAATCCTTAAAACGTCTTTGCTAGTTTTTAATAAAATAATAGAGTGCTTTTTTTTTTGAATGGGAAAATGTTTTTGAAAACTACATGCCCTTTGAATGAGAGAGAGAGACACAAAGGTATAGATGGATATATGTGTAGCTAGGTCAGTTGGCTTTACTGATTTTTTGCGCTTGCATTTCTTGTTTTTTCTTTAAATCCCCTTCAGAGATTGATATTGAGCGTTGTGTTCGCGAGTCGATCAACCTGTTCCGCTGGACTCCGAAGAGTGCTACCTACAGGCAGTACGCGCAGCCTCCACGGCCAGCCGGCGAGAGCAACGGCACAAGGACTTCCATGTCCTGCTTTTCAGCAGACTATCAGGAAGCACCTCGAAGTGACCTAGTAAGTAACTGGGGAATTGGAGTGGAGAGATTTGTTCAGATTGCATGATGCTCAGATTCTCCTGCCTCGGGTAAGGCTTTTTTTCCTGTTTAAAATTTGAACAGGAAGAAATACCCACCAAACCTTAGTTACTGGCATTTATGCTGTCACTCCAAGCACAGGGATTTGATACGTTCATCATATGTTCTGATTTGCTTGTCAGCTAGTGCACAGTGTTAGATCCTATGCTATATTATTGACAAATCCAATGCAGTCTGTTAGAATTAACAAATTTTTGGGTTTGGGAGGTTTTTTTGTAATTGTGCTGCTTTGAACTTTGGCTTCTTTGATACACAGGCCGATAAAATTATTTCTTCTTGTGACGTATTCTTGCATCTCCCAACTCCTGCTCCTTTGGCTCTGTGGTATTTGTTACCACAATGGACCAATGTGCACAACTGCAGAACTGCAAACAGGATTTATTGTATGAGAAAACCAGTAAGACGAGCAGTTTGGCAGTGAGAAATAGGGAACTGGAAAGTGGTGCTGGCAACTCTGGCTGCTTTTACCATCTTGGCATGTCAGGTAAAAGGTATGCTGCAAGTTATTCTGAGAGGTAGTGTGTGAGTTATGCCTATGTTTATCTAGGCAAAGAATAACTAGTGACTAAGAGAATATCTGCATTAAATAGATAACTCAGTTTAGGAAAAGGATTTTCTCTTCCCTCTCCAGTAAAATCTGATGGTTGTTTCTCTTGTCCAATGCACCATCTAAAGAATGCTGATTTGAAATTATTCCTTTCCTTCCTCTTAGCAGTATAAATCTAGTTAGTCTCTTAAAAATCAAAGTTTTATTTTGTTGGGTTTTTTTCCTTCCACCTTCTCCTACAGAGTTCATTTATGAGTACGTTGCAGTAATAGGGGAAGTATATATAGACCTGCTGTATCTATTTGGCGATCTGTGTTATGTTTTAGTCTTTCCCTTTGTTTTGCCTAACTACTAAGAAACTAAGAAACGTTGTTGTCGCTCAAGTGAATCTTTACTTTTTAGTCCTTAAGCCTAAAATTGATATTCTTGTTTTTTACTTTAGTTTTTATTTTATTTCTATTGTTGTAGTTTCTGGAAGCCTTAGCTACAAGTCCAGTACTCCAAGTGTAGACATGCAAATGCAGAACAAAAGGAAACTTCTAAGAGTTTACAGGATTTAAGAAACAATAGGTGGATGTAGAAAGGCAGTGGAGAAGAAAAGTGAAATTACAGGAGAATACTGGTTGTTGTCATACAGGAATTGTAGCCAACACAACTGCTGCTATGCTGCTCTAGGGATATGTAGAGAGTCTTTCTGAAGGAGCTAAGGATGTACATTTGTAGAATAATTCATATAGGATCTTAAAAAATCATTTGGTACAAATTTGTGCAGAAAACAGGTCCAACACTGAATTCAGATGGGGTTGCCCAGGAATTTGATCTATCAGGTCAAGAAAACTTCCAAGGAATGTATGCAGTCTCTCTTGGCAGTCCAGTTGGATGCCTGACAGATGCTAACAGTGAAAATGATTTTGTGTATACACTAGCTTTTCTGAATGTTATGACAAAGGAGTAAAAAGACAAGTCTTCTGATTGCTAAGCATTTGCTTGTGCCTTTATGTGTCCAAGCAAGAGTGAAAGCACTTGGAAATAAGAAAGAGGGAGACGGGAGAGAGCAGCAATGGTCTACTGAGATAGTAAATAGAAAAAAGATTTGTATTTGTAGCAGAGATAAACATCATTTATTTGGACCTAGAAAAGTTCATTCAGTATTCTTCCATTTCTTGAGCAATTTTTGGAGTGTTTTTTACTGATAGTAATTTTAATTTCATACCAGAAGTTGTGTTTGTTTATAATGCCAGTAACTAGGTTCTTCCAGCCCACAATTTCCAAGAAATTAGGCACATGTTTTTGGTATGTTAAGGAGGAGAGAAATAAATACTAGAACTTCTATTGCCTTCTCTTTCATTTTTACTTCTTTCTACTTAACAGCAAAGAACTTTTCATTTACTGCAGCATAACTGATTGTTTAACATCTTTTGAAGTTCAAGTATATTGGATCTTTTGGTTACTGCTATAGCTTTTTTTAGCTCATCGTATAGAGGCAGAGCTGTGTGATTTATACAGAAATATGTGAGCATACTCAGGTTTTTTCTGTAGCAAAGAGGAAACTAATCTCATGGACACCTGAATGACAAGGAAAACGATTCATATCTTAAATTATAGTCTGCAAATGTGTTTGCTCTCACATGCTGTATTTTTGTGTGTCAGATTTTGAGACAGATACCAGTCAAGTTTGTTATGATTCAGTCAGGAGCTGTAGTTCAGACTTGGAAAATCCCATGTAAAATGAGTCAATAACGAACTGCCTCTCACTTGTGAACAGTTCTGCACTTCCAGATGTTTGTCATTATGACACTTCTCAGGGATTAGAGCAATATTGCTAAAAAAAATTAAAATTTAAATTATTGGTGAACTACACTATTTACAGTTGTTTGGGTTTTTTTTAACCTTAATCCTGGAATTATTTATGTCTTTCTTCAAACATGTCCTCTACTGTGTGGGAGGCGTGTCGTGTTTGCTGTCATGGGGAAACTTTTTATCCACTTGAAAGCAGTGGAATTTGAGTTCAATCTTTAGTATGCACAGTATCCTTTAATGGATTTTTTAAAACACCTTTGTGTCTTTGCTGTTCAATCTAGCTCTTATAAAAATTACTTTGCTTTTCCCTACCTATTTAGTTTGTTATTTGACAAATACTTTGCACTATATTTCTGTGTCCAGTTTTATATTTGTGGGTCACCTCTGTATTTGAAACTGGGCTGGGTACAAAACAATTACTTTGTGAACAAAGTTATGGGTTTGCTTCTGGAGGTAAGTTATGAGTTCTTGAAACAGTAATTGTTTAGTGTTTTTAATTGTAAACACCAGCTGTCTCCTACCCCTGTATTTGTATTTTCCTTCTAAGCTACTTCAGTTTGTTTAAGTGCTTTTTATTGGCTACTCAAATATCTGTGTGTATCTGCATGTTATTGTGCTTTGGTTAATAATAACATGAGAAGTATTTACCCTCTGGGTGTGCATTTTTCTCCCTAAATCAGCAGTCAGTAAAACAAAACTGTTTTGACTCTTTTTATTACTAGTATTGCTTAGTATTCATTTTAGTGACATCTATTTGCAACTTCATAAATAATCTTGGGTGCTCTCTTTCCTCCTGGACTTGTGTGTTGCTTAATCTTTTAATTTTTCAACCAGTAAGCATATTTCTGCTAAGATAAAATCTCAAGGAGGAAATAGTTTTAGAGAGGATGAATGTACATCTTAAGTGGGTTTGCATGTTTATTTTGAGAAAGATAAAATGTCAAAAATAACAGGGGAAAAAACCTTTACATTCACTACTGAATTTACACTACAGTTGACTCAATTTTGTCTGTAACTTTTCTTTACCAGCACATGGATGATGTTTTTCTTCTTACTTTTTTTCTTACTCTTCCTGAAACTTACCTTCATGCCCTGGAAACTTGAATGTCCAGCAGTCACACAGATAAATAACACTGTCATATAACAATTGTCTTCTATATCTGTGTCTCCAGTATTATGGTAGACATACGCTCTCTCCAGCTACTTGTGAAATTCTAAATAAAAGAGAGAGAATGTTGCAGCTTCTTTATCAATATCTGGTCAAGTGTGACAGGTGAACTCACAGAAATCCACAGGCTGATACAATTATGCCATTGCCTTGTTCTTCTACTGCCCATCTTCTTTTCGAAGGTGGAAGTTTCCTGATCAGGATCTGTGTTAATGCTTCTAACTTATTTTACATTTGCCTTTGATGCTTCTGTTTTTCTGGTTGTAGCTGCCAACAGCTTGAATGACAAGTTGGGTTTATTTGTCATTTTTTAGATGAATTGGTTAAAATGCACTTTTTATGTCACTCTCCCGTGAGTGAATAAACAAATCACTGTTTAATTAAGCATGTCATAAGCTCATAATATTCTGGAAAATATTTTTAGGAGTTGTTGCAAACTTCAAAACTTTCTCTGTGTATTGGTTAGCTTTTCGAAGTTCATTTGATGCTCATAAGCCGAGCAGCCAGCAACCAGAAAGCAGGGAGTGTAAGGAAACCTCTGCTTGCAGTGCTTTGGTTTTGCAGATTAAATTAGCTAAAGGAAGCCTTTTTTTAGCACTTGCTTTACTCTGATAGGTTTTAAAAATATGAATGTCTTTTCTTACATTTTAGGATTATATATGGTAGAAGATAAAGCATTAAATCAATTAACCAGAGTGGATAAAACACAAAATATAAGGCTTAGAAAACAACAGATGTTAAATATTGGTTTAAAAGTCTCTGATAAATGTTGTGGTTGTTTTTTTAAGTTGTAATATAAATAGCCATTATTTTAATTGAATGTAAATTCATTGAAACAAATATTCTGCTTAGCTGAGGCAGAATTAAAGGAGTATATTTATAATAATCTAAATATTATTTATATGAAACTTTTAACAGTTTGTGAGACACTAGATCATATTTAAGGATTGTGAGCATGTTTTGCACAGACTTGGTTTTCAGGTCTCCCTGGGGTGTGCTTATCTGCTGTGAATGTAAATGGAGTAGCTAGAGCAGTCAGAGTACTCTCTGCTGCAGCCTTAGGCTCAGGTTCTGGATTCACTGATTGTCCATTGAGTCCTTCCTCACAAGCCTGTGTGATTATACCCACTTTGAAGTTGAAAGCTGGGTGTATTTGACCTTTTTAACCTCCCTCAATTGGGATTTCATGACTGATTAACAAATGTGCTGAGGGGAAAAGGGTAATTGTAGTAAAATTAATTATTAAAAAAAATAGATCTAGCCAGTTCTTTCCATCTGCATCTTGTGGGAATGTTCTTTTTAATCTTTTTTTTTTTTAATTGTTTTAAAACCAGATTCTGGTTTTGATAGCCTTTGATTGCCTTTGATCAATTAAATATGAGAAGTTTCTTTTTTTTTTCCCCTT